CACAGCACAGCACAGCACAGCACAGCACAGCACAGCACAGCACAGCACAGCACAGCACACATTAAATCCATAAGCACTAAGAGGTTGTTAAAAACCATAAAACTCAGCTATTTTATCTCATATGTCATATCTACCCCGTTATGCTTTATCAGAGACAGTAAGAACTTCCATAGGACCCATCTAGCCTGCTGACTGGCCAGGTCTGTTGATGACTGCTGAACCTCATCAGCTTTGGATTGAACATATTCAATGACTTGTCTCTTCATTGTGTCACGGCTGAAAAGTAAAGAGATTAATACTGCAGCCTGAATGGTCTACGAGTCAATAGCACTTGAGGCCAAAGGCTGGCTGAATGGGCTATTGACTTGAAGACCATGAGGGCAAAAGATCTACTTGTTTTAGTCTAAACCTACTAATCGGTCAAATTTATGGATACAAAAAAATAAAAATAGGTTGAAATAGAGAGTTATTCACAATTTTTTGGTTGTCAAAACTGGCACTTTCAATGCGGCCTGTACAAATTTTTGATCCTCATGGCTTATGGCTTATATATGTTAGAAAAAACTAGCACAAATCAAGAACAGAAACAAGCCTAAAAGTTTTATCTCAGTCTTTAGACATGCATGTAACTATGTACTTACCATGACAATGGACCAGGGAAGGCTTCAATTTGTTCCTGCTCTTTTATACTAAAGATAGCCTTCAACGATAAAGTAAAATATACATAACTTGATGGAGAAATAATGCCCAAGCATACTTTGTGTTGCATTCATTAGGTAAAAGAAGTGTTTGACAAAAATATTGCCAAACTTAGGGTTAAATAAAATAGGCATAATTGGATTAAATTTATAATGTACTGTAATTTAATAAAGTTTATTTGCACACAACAGCTGCAGCTCAGGACTACAAATGTCTGCTTAATGCAAAGACATGATTACAGTGAACTCTCATTACAGTGGACAACCTTGGAACCATCACTTGGTGTCCAGGATATTGCACATTATCAATAGTGAGAATCAATTAATGTCATTTATTTGTCAGCCTTGGCTTCTGTCCGCAACAGCAAGGTGTCTAACATCAGAGTTTCTGCAAGACGAGAGTTGCAGTACTGGCCACAGATCAATTATTGTGTCAAGTCAATGTGACTGTTCAAAAGGACCAGCCTTTACCAGCATCGTAGCCAGAGAAGAGTCAAGACTAGATGGCTGTTAATTAGAGCCCAGTCACTACTCTGTGGTACTGTCTTTCATCACATACCTTTAGTGTAGCTATCTCCACCAGTGGTTTCTGGCCATCATCAGGGTGGTGCGGTAAAGTCACCAACAGTTTCCCAGCAGGACCAAATTGACACGTCATGTGGGGGCGTGAGAAATGTAAGGGTGTGGTTCTCAGGGGTACAACCTCTTGTACCTCACCCTCTGTGATGACAAAGAAAATAGATATTAAGTAAATATTAATGATAAATGCCAAAAATGAATGGATGAAAGAGTGGATGGATGGTTGGGATAGAAAGACCTAGATGGACCTCTGTGATGACCAAGAAAAGAGATGAGTTAAGATAAAGGAGGAAAAGTTTCTTTGAAAGAAGGGGTGAAGGAAGGGAAAAGAGGAAGGGAGGAAAGTTTGAATGAACGAGCGAAAAAATCAACAAACAAAGGAATGAAGGAAAAAATAAATGAACGAACAAACAAAAGAACGAAAGAATGAACGAATGAACGAACTGACAAGATACCATAGTGTCCACATACCTTCTTGATCTTTTTCAATTACAGATTCCTCGGCCTGTTGCCCTTCCTTCGCCTGATTGTCATGGTAGCTCCCCTCTCCACTAGAGTACTGACTACCATGCCCTGAGCCGAAAGTGCCATACTGTTGATAATAATCATAGTATGGTCCATACCCAGGATAATAACCTGGAGCAGGAGGATAATGATAGGGCATGCCGTACGGCCCTGGATAATATCCATAATGATGTTCGTAACCAGGATAGGGATGAGGTTGTTGTTGATATCCATAGTAAGGATCGTGACTGTAATTATAACCCGCAGGTGTACTGCGCCCTGAACCTGATGACGGCGTAATCGATCTATGAGGCTCTTTATATTCACCATAATGCTGGTCACCTATTGGCTTAAAGATTCCTCTATCAGCACTGTCTCTATAATAATCATTTCGGTATGAATCTAGTTCATTTCGTGAGGAGCGCTCAGGTCTTCGATGATCATATTGACTATCAAAACTGCGATCCAAGTATGAGTGATCCAGGGACTTCCGTGATGAATAGTAATCATAGTCGTCGGTCCTGCGTTGACCTCTCTCATACTTATCATAAAAATCAATATTTCTGTACCCTTGGGCATCTCTTCTATCACGAGTATATCTATAATCTCTATCAAGTCTCTCGTCATGTTCTGAACCATAATGTGGATGATGATAATCGTCATTTTCCCTAGAGGTGTTGTGCCGATAATCATTATAGTCATCATGTCCTCTGAAGCTCTTTTCCTCAAAATCCTCATGGCTTGTTATCAGAGCATGTGACGCTGAATAATGTTCACGGTATGAATCATGTTCGTTGTGTCTACGAGAGTAATCTTGGTGCTCCAAGTGTTCATGTGGCACTCGAGATGGACTTTCTTCTCTTAGTTCCCGCACTCTAGGATTACTATAATGCTGCCTCTCATCCTCAACATCCCTGTGTCTTGAAAGTCTCCTTTCCTCAACATGTTCTTCTCCATAGCGGGATTTGTGCTCCCCTCTGTGTGGATTACCAACCCCACGTCCATCACTTCCAAGAAATTTTCCATGATATTCAGTCTCTCTAGAGGGATGATGAACTGATTCCTTAGGGGTGCCATGATCTCCGACATGTGGATTACCAACCTCCTTATGTTGAACCCCAAAATCATCTCCACTATGTTTCTCATGATGTTCCCTCTCTAATCCATGATGACCAGATTCCTCAAAACCATGCACAGTGTTCTCAGTTGGTAGAGCACCTAAACTAGTCAGGTCTTTTAGAGGAATTGTGGGGTGATTATGGAGTGATGATTGGACATGTTCTGGTGCACTAGAGGATGGTAGAATAGTACTTGTAGATAGATTCTCTGCAGTTTCTTGTCTCATTTTCTTTTGCTCTTTTTTCAGAGCTTTCAGTCGCTTCTTTTCAGCTTTCCTAGATATTCAGAACATTATCATTAGCTCAGTATTAATATTTATTGGTAGCATAATTTTAGACTTGAACAAAGAGTTTTGCGCTTTACGATTGCTCAAGCGACTATTATGAGACAGCAATCACTGCTTGAGTGGTGATTATGAGGCTTTCCTAAGTTTGTGAGAGCAGAAGTAATACCAAAACGTTTTCTTATCCTGAATTTTGTCTTTTCACTGACATTATTCAAGTCTAAAATTATACTAAAACAAGAAAGAGGTTCGGTGATTATGTTAAATATTTAGCTCGCCGCTTGAAGATTCATGGCTCGGCAAATAATCACAGATAATAACAGATAATCACTTTTTGGAAAATAATTGTTAAATGATAAGCAACCAATTATATTCAACAAAACTAAATGATRGTGTCTTTTACAGTCGCACTTCATATTATTTTTCATTTTGCTCTAGTTCTAAATAAATATGATTTTTTTTCCCTTACCTTTCTTTCTTGGATAATGTAGCCAATGATTCATCCTTGGTTTCTAAATCCGAACAAATTTTCAATTAGAATAATCATTTCACCACCATTATTGTTATCAGTCAATGGTCATCAAATGTTATCTTTGATATGATTTCTGAGAAAATTATTTTTCTTGATGGCACAAACAATATTTCTAACCATCATCATCATTGAATTTGAAACATCAATAACATTACGTACATCTTGTACAGTACCTACTAATCAACTATGTCATACTCTTAATATTGTCAGTTTAATAAATAAATAACTTAGTTAATAAAGGTGATATATACCTATTTCAAATAAAGTTGTCATCGCCAAAGGTGATAGGCAATAGGTAAATAACAATAGGAGATAGGTCATTCTGAGATCCAAGAATAGCTGGAATGACTTGTGTTTCTGCTTCTTATTCTCATCAAGAACATGGACCTTAGTGTTGAGACTGATTCAATGTTCTTTTTATTCAATGAAACCACTTCTATGTGGAATGACCTATCGCTTATCGCCTTTGGCGATGACAACATCTTTTGAAATAGTTTTATCTTTTTTACAGAATCCTTCAATGTAACATTAGCTGACCTTGATCTGATGGCAATGATTGTGGGTAACTCATATCCTGCTTCAGTTGAAGAGCTTCAGGAGTAGCTGGTGAAGGCACAGCTGGCTTGGGAGATTGCTAAAGTAAACAGTACAGGCAATAAAATAAGTACAATTCATGAACAACACATGATATTGCAATAAGTGCCTATGATGGGATTCTTTAGGGAAGATGTGTTCTTAATGGGGGGGAGGGGGGGGGGATTTGCAGCAATAAACCTCTTTAAAATGGTTGTAGCCCTCCTCCTTTCACTCAGTAAGAAATTCATGACCCTCCATTATTTACAGTCAACAAGGAAACAGCTTTTGTCAAAATAAAAAGGGTTGACCCTCCATGAAAGTTCATCTCTTACTGAAGATGGCTCTCTCCTCTGAAGCCCCCCCCTCCCCCCCAAAAAAAACCCTGAACGGGCACCAGATCCAGGTAGTCTACTTTCTTGTAAACAGCGCTGAAATACCTGTAATGCTGGAGCAAGCAGGAAACCTGGAGACATTGCCGCAGGTATATTAGTGGACCATAATGAAGAAGACATAGATACTGGAGTCCTTGATTTTTCTTCTCTTGTGGGTCTTTTAGTCTTATTTCATTAAGAGAAAATAATAATAAATTTGAAAAAGCAAATAAATTTTTTTTATAGATTCTCATCATTTTTCGGTTCAAAAATTATTTTCTTACCAATGCCATTGGCCCACTTTCTGGAGGAATTGGTGGTTCAGGAGTTGATGTCTTTGCAGGTCTAGCATTGTGTTCCATCTGAGCTGCTAAGAAATATAAATAACATTTATTTTATAAAGGCATGCATACTGCAAGTCATTTATTAGCAAGGGATTTAGGTAAAAGGCTTAGGAACGTGATCTTTACAGAACCCTAGTATAAACTACCACATTTTGACTACTCACTTTTCAATGGCCCTGCCCCTTCAATTTAAGCGTTACTATAACTTTTATAAACATGCGAACTCACTAGCTGCACCCTGAAATTTTTTTCAATTATTTTTGCTGCCGTCAACCAGAACTAATAAGTCCGTATCTTTCACATTTTTGACCGATAGCAGTGTAAAAACAAGTTTCATCTAGCGGCTGGCGAGTTTGAATATTTAAGAAGTAGTAAACTCATGTGATCTGTGACCCCCCAAATACAAGCACAAAATATATGAAGATATAGAAATATAGAAAAGTTATAGTGCTTGGGAACGAGGTTATTCTGGGCACAAAATATACTAAACTTTGACACATCTTTTTGTGCGCCCCCCCCCCCCATTCTTACTCGCCCTTTTGCCTCCTCCAAAAGAAACTAAACAAGCATAAATATAACCTCTTGACCACCTATTCACACTAAAAAACTGTCCTAATTATGTTAAAATTACCTTTAGGAAACATGGGTACAGGTGCTGCAGTGCTCACTGGTGGAGCAGGCTGGTYGTGCTCATGGAGTGGTTTCTTCAAGCCATCAACCACAGAAGGTGGCATGATATTTGTTTGGGGTGGTTGGATAAGTTCCTTCTTCTTACCAACACCCAGTGAAGGTTGTGGAATAGTATGTGTTGGAGGTGCAGTTTGCTCGTGCTTGAAGAATTGACTCTTGGGAATATTGGCCTCCATTTTACCAGCAGTGGTTGGAGGTGGCTGCCCAATACTTGTTGGTGGTGGGCCAGGCTGAAAGTATTCATGACCTCCTGTCTTTGAAACATCTTCCTTTTTAGCAGCAACCATGTGTGTTGGTGGGCCAGGCTGGAAGTATTTTTCGTCATTTTTCTCCATCTTATTTCCAGTCATGGGAGGTGGTTGCACCATATTTGTTGGTGGTGGGCCAGGCTTAAAATAACCCCGAGCACCAGTCTTTGCAACATCTTTTCCGACACTCATGGGAGGTGGTTGCACCATATTTGTTGGTGGTGGGCCAGGCTTGAAATAATCTGGGGCACCTTTCTTTGCAGTATCTTTACCAACACTCATGGGAGGTGGTTGTACCATGTCAGTAGGTGGTGGACCAGGATGAAAATACTTTTGGGCACCTGTGTTTGGGACATTTTCCTCAGTTTTATTTCCAGTCATGGGAGTTGGTTGCACCACATTTGTTGGTGGTGGACCAGGTTGAAAATAAGTCTGAGCACTTGTCTTGGTAGCATCCTCTTCTATTTTACCAACAGGAGGTGGTTGTACCATGTCTGTAGGTGGTGGGCCAGGATGAAAATACTTTTGGGCACCGGTGTTTGGAACATTTTCCTCAGTTTTATTTCCAGTCATAGGAGGTGGTTGCACCATATTTGTTGGTGGTGGACCAGGTTGAAAATAAGTCTGAGCACTTGTCTTGATAACATCCTCTTCCATTTTACCATATGGTTGTACCATATTTGGACCTGTCTGGAAGAACATATGGCTACCTGACTTTGAAACATTGCCTTCCTTTTTACCAACATCCAATGGAGGTGGTGGTACAGCATCTGTTGGTGGAGCAGATTGTTCATGGTGAAAAAAGTCATTGCCTGGAATCCTGCCATCTACTTTATCAGGCTGTCCAATATTTGTTGGTGGTGGAGCAGGCTGGAATTGTTGTTGGGCAACTTCCTTTGGGCCTTCTGCTATGATTTTGCCATTAATCATCATGATGTTTGGCGATGGGACAACATTTCCTACATGTGCAGATTGTTTATGTTCATAGGTGTCTCCTTTTGGAACTTCCTCCTCCATTTTATCCTTGGGAGATGGTTGAGGCATATATGTTTGTGGTGGTGGTTGGCTGTATGCATCATATGAAGTAGCCTCTTCCTCCCTCCAGGCAGCAGTTTCAATCTGACTTTGATCAGAGTTGCTACAGGTGTCTTGGGYGGACGACGAGGAGTCACTTTCTGAAGTATCCGGTGAATCCTCCGGCATGGAAATACTTGGTTCCAAGTCTGTTACCATGTCACTAGTCTGGCTAAAAGGCGTGGTTTGAGCAGCATCAATCTGCTGCCAAGTGACATGAGGATTGGTGTCCCTTGAAGCCATGTGATCTTGTTGGCCAACTTGCAAGGGCTCCTCTGGTGCATGCTTAAAAGGACCATCCTGTTCCCAAGCTATTTGATTCAGAGCATCCCCAGGTACTGTTGGCTCATGGTGTTCATCATGGGAAAAATTTTCCACTCCAAAACAACTTTGAATATTATCTACATATTCAGTTTCCTGTGAATAATCTTCTGGTGGAGTCTGGTCTTCCATAGCAACAGTTGGATGACTAACAGCAAATGGGTCTTCAATGTCAGGGACAACTTGATTAGGCTGTTCAACAGTTTGACCCAAAGTACCTTCAACAATACCAAAGGAACCAGCAATTCCAGAAGGAGTTTCAGGGGCAAAGAAACCTTCCCGTGATCTTTCTGGCTGGAGATCCTCATGGACATTAGCTGCCCCATCAGATTCTTGTACGGTTGTTTGAGGCTGCATTTGCTCCTGACCTGGGAATGGAAATGGTTGATGAGTGGCAAATGAATCTTCCACGTTAGAATGGGAACTCTCCTCAGATGGGACTTTGTGAACACCAAAGGTATTATCTGTTGTTTCTCCACTTTGTCCCAAAGGCCATTCTGTCAGCTTTTGCTCCTGAGGTGGAAAAGAAATTGGTTGATTGGAAGCATTAGGCTTTTGTGTTTTGCCCTCAAAAGCATTATCATTTGCCTCTTCAGTTTTCTGTAAAGGCATTTCTGGCTCTCTTTGCTCCTGAGTTGGATAAGAAAATGGCTGATTGGAGGCAAAAGAATCTTCGATGTTTGGAAAAACAATTTCATTTGACGGTTTGCTGAGGACCTCAAAAGCATTATCATTTGTATCTTCAGCTTTCTGTAAAGGCATTTCTGGCTCTCTTTGCTCCTGAGTTGGATAAGAAAATGGCTGATTAGAGGCAAAAGAGTCTTCAATGTTTGGAGAAGCAATTTGATTTGATGATTTGCTGTCAACCTCAAAAGCATTATCAGGCGCTTCTTCAGTTTTCTGTAAGAGCATTTCTGGCTGCTTTTTCTTCTGAGTCGGATAAGAAAATGGCTGATTGGAAGTAAAGGAGTCTTCAATGTTTGGAGAAGCAATTTGATTCGACGATTTGCTGTTGACCACAAAAGCATTATCAGGCGCTTCTTCAGTTTTCTGTAAGAGCATTTCTGGCTGCTTTTTCTTCTGAGTCGGATAAGAAAATGGCTGATTGGAAGCAAACAAATCTTCAATATTTTCATGGGGAATTTTCTCAGAAGGTGTTCTGTGGACTTCAAAGGTATTATCAATTGGCTCTTCAGATTCCATTGAAGGCATTTTAGGTAGTCCTTGCTCTTCTGTTGCAGGAGTTGGATGATGATAACCAAATGATTCCTCTACATAAGAGGGACTTACATTAACCCTCTGTTGTTGTTCCGGGACACAAGAAGACCTTTCATCTCCAAAATCATTGTCATTTTCTAGTGAAGGTTCTGCTGCACTTCCAAAGAGATCCTTATGAGAAGTATCACTGACAGTTGGTTTTGAAAACAAATGTGCAGCTGACTTTGGCGTAGGGAATGTTGAGAATGAAGCAGCAGGGAATGCAGGTTCTGGCTGTGTGGAGGTTGCTTCTTTATTGAAGCCTAAGAACAAAACATTAAAGATTCATTGGAATTTCAAAAGTTATCAAACTAAGAATTTATGATGTATGATAAGGATTCTCAATATGTATGATAAGGATTCTCATTTCGTAGTACATAATACAGACATCCAAATTACAGAGGTGACCATAATAGATGGTGTTCATGACACAAAGGAGGGCAAAAATACATTGGTGCCCATACAGAAGTGACCATAATACATGGGTGTCCAGGATATACAGGTGTCCACAATGGACCATCCACAATAAATGGATGTCTCTTATACAGGGGTATGTGCCCATAAAGTGGCCGGGTGTCACTGTACAATAATAGCTACATGGGTGTCCACGATATACAGGTGTCCATAATGGACCACCCACAATAAATGGGAGTCTCTAATACAGGGGTATGTGTTCATAAAAAGGCCAGGTGTCATGGTACAGTAATAGCTATATAATTATGGAGTCATCATATCTGTACCTGTTTCTCCGTTATCATTCAAGCTAATATCATCAAATTCTCCATTGTTCTGTTCTGGAGCTTCAGCATTTCCACTCAGTGCAGCAGCATATGAAACACCAGTTCTCACGGAAGCTGACTCGGCTGCCATCGATTCTTGTGGAAACAAATGTGCAGTGTTTCCTGGAGTACTGGCAGACGAGTTGTTCACTTGTGCGTTGTCGAAAAATGAATTCAGTGAAGCACTTTCTACTTTTGGTTGTGTTATTGGTTGTTGATTTTGAGTTGCAAACTGGTCAAAAAAGTGACCAAAATTCTACAAAAAAAAACAAAAAAAAAAGAGAGAGAGAGAGAAATGCAGCAGGTTTAACAAACAAATATTAAAGGTCTACGTGTAAAGTGTTTTTGTAGGTTAGAATCATTTCCAATTAAAACTTTGAGTGAGTTACTCATGCTCTGGTTAGATCAACACAGGTTGTTTCAGGATTAAATGTTTGGTTTAGTGGTCAACCAAGGACTATTTCATGTAATTTGTTAGTTCATGATCATAGATACTCGAGTGCCACTTTAAAAATGTCACAGAAAAATGGTTAAATAAATTTCAAATTTTTGGTGAAAATTAATTGTTGTTGTGGTTGCAATCAGTCTTGCGAACATTGTCACAACATACAGTGGGACACACACTCATTTCTTGTTTTCAATCAGATTTTGTTTTTAGAACAGAAACCATTCAGAATATATCAGCAGGTTTAAAGATGTTAAACACAAGGGTTGTTTTTTTGATTAGACATATTAATTCCCTATTGTAACAGATATCTTCGGCTTGGGTGTAATGTTTTCCCATTTCAGACCACATGTCATTCCCTTGAGAATAAGATTTTTTGTTTAAGTTGTATCCATATTCATGTGTCTTCTTATGTGYAACCACTAAACAAAGAAATGTTACTCTAGTAAATGACACATGGTCTGAAATGGGAAAACATTACGCCTTACGCAGACTAACTAGTACTACATTCAATTACTGTGAGGTGAAATCATTAGTTACCTGTGGTTGAGGTTGTGAAGTAGTTATCTGGTGTCGTTGTTGTTGTGAGTAAGAAGATTGACCATTAAAACCATTAGAAAAACCATTGGACATGCAATCTTCTGAACTTTCTACACCCCAATCTGGCCATTCTGACCAACCATCATCAACCTGAATTAAAATAAGCCTCCTTTTAGCAACTCAAGCTCCATTAAACTTGTAACAGACCTTTTCTTGTAATCACCAAATACTGTTTTCTTTGATTAAAGACTCAGGTTACTCTACTTGCTCAGGGTTAGCATCATTTCAACATCAAATTAATATTCACAAGTTACCAACAATTATGTAAAAATGCACAACTTCAACAATAGAGCCTGGCTTTGCAACATCACATACGGGCACCCATAATACAGCTTGGACTGCCTGTGGTTAGATGACAGAACAATAAAATTCCTTTGCTCTCAGGAATYGTATTCTTTCTTATATGTAAAACAATTGTATTGTTCCTGCCATCTAACAAGGATGCTGCCATGTTATGGTACAAGCCTCTATACTTCATATTTATTATTATTATACTTCGCTGAGCTGGAACATATGAATATTGTAGACAAAATTGAGGCTAATGCTGAGCAACGGACAACTTCAAACAGGAGTATTACGGGTTGAGAAAAGAAAAGCCTTTCCTCCCTCAGGTTTGAAGAAACCTCTTGCTTCCTATGCTAGACACCAAAATACACAGCAGAAGTGTGCAAATATAGGGTGTCCATGGACATTAAGTATGTCAATGAGGTGGAATACGCATTTAAAATGGGTGTCATTTAAGTGAGATTTGACTGCAACTAGTGCAAACATATACAGTAATGCTAAACACAAATCTAATTTATGTAGAAGTCTACTCTATCTGACTAACCACTTTGTGCTCTTGAGTATGTTTCCTTTCTTTTCTAGGCCTGACATCAGGAAAATTCCCCCACAGACTCTGTTACAATGATATATTACTCTATTATCAGTTCTACACTTTACTGTCATACATAATCTGTTTTATAATGAGTATCATAAACTGATTGGCTGCCTACTGTGTTTATATTAGAGGACAGAGATACACTCGCACAAAATTTTTCAAAAATATTTTATAGAAGCAATATAAAATTACTGCTCATGTCTCTGTACTGTGATAAAAATACTTTGAGATGTAACAGGAGCACTGATTGGCTGACTAAGTCTGTGTTCATATAAGAGGACAGAGACACACTCTGCTTACAGTGTATGTCTCTGTACTGTGATAATAAATACTCTGGGAACTGTAGCACACTTGAAAAGCAAGAGAAATGCTCTGCTATGCTTTGTGTTTCTATACTTGCTTCTCTCATTCTCTACAGCTCAAAGCATGTTTCTATTACAGTACAAAGACATGCTCGCTCCTTTCATACTGCTTAAATAGAATTTTGTTATAAGTATATAATTTCATATGAGATTGTTAAAGATTTAAGTAGAGATAACTAGCTAAAAACTAGTGTGAGCTGCGTCGGTGTTTCTAATGAAACAGTAATGATGAAAGGGTAAATTTTACACTGTGAAAAGATGAAGTAAGTAGTAAGTTTAGTAAGTTTTTTCATCTTTTCACGGTGTAAAATTTACTCTTTTTTCATTACTCTTTCATTAGAAATGCTGACGCAGCTCACTAGTTTTTAGCTAGTTGTCTCTACTTAGATCATTACTGAGATCAAAGTAGAAAAGAGTAAAGCAAAACGTTTGATACTCACTTCTTGAAGCATAGGGTCCAACTGTGGAGATACAGGTGGCTCCTGGTATGCRGTATTGCCATGGTAACCACTAAAAAGGAGATTCAATTATAAATTTTGAAGTAAAATAATCATGACAAGCATAATAATCTCTGGACAAACCAATGTTACCCAGCATTACTAGTTTTATAAATTTCCTCAGCAATGTACAACAAACAGACAACAAACATACAACAAACATAAGATTTATGATATTTTTCCCCATGAGGGCAGGGACACAACAACAGCATAGCCAATTACAGTGGGCCCTGTTTAGCACGGGCACTGAAGATGGTCATCACCAGCGTCTTCAGTGGATCTTTTACGTCTGCCTCATACAGGGTTATATAGTGAAGACAGACAGTTGTACATAAGAGCTAGGTTATATTATCACCAACCAATAAGTGGGTTTTCTTTGACTCTAAAATGACGGAAGGAATCTGTTGAACGAGATAGTAGTAACAAAACCTTACCCTATGTAGTTGTTGGTGCTCTTATCCTGCCAGGGGTTTAGATTCCTTTTTGTTGAGTCTGTTAAATTATCTGAATCACAATAATGACAAATAACAAACCAATATTAAAAAAATTGTCCTTACATGCCATATAATAGACCCTTTAAGCTGGGGTGTAATGTTTTCCTATTTCAGACCATGTGACATTCCCTTGAGAATAGATTCTTTGTTTAAGTTGTATCCATATTCATGTGTCTTCTCATGTGCGACCATTGAAGGGATTCTCTAGGGTATAAACATGGTTTGAAAGGGGGAAAACATTTCACACAATCTACTGTAAAAGGGTCTATTTCTCTTATAATTACAGTTGAACACTGCTGTTTCAGACTGTTAAGTGAATTAAAGAAAAAATAATTCAGGACAATGGGGCTTCAAGATTATCGAGTTTGAGATAGCAGAGTTTAATGCATCTACATGTAGCACATCACAGACTTGTTTTAAGTTCAATGAGCTTCATATTCATCTATCCCTATATAGCATATATACATACAAAATAAAATGAAGTACTATTTCCCCCTGAGGTATCCCATGATACACAGTACCAAGGGTTACTATGCCCTGTTAGTATAATTCACTACCACTACCAAGATCCATTGCACGCTTTCTTTTATCCATTTAATTAGCACCAACTGCTTTACTATTTTCATGAGGGAATATAAATCTGAAGAAAGGTAGTGGTACTTAAATGATGGCATTAAGCAAATTGCAAATTAAATTAAAAACACAGAACAGCCTTGCTTACTATTAGAGATATCAATATACTATCAATGGTCTTTATCATCATCGTTATCATTTTTTAGAAATAGTTTGTGTATATTTTTTTAAATCAAAAATAGATCTATGCTCCTGGTCTCTTAAGTTATCTTTAGTTAAAAACATGTAAAAATCAATTGGTTTAACAGGTCAAAACAAAGATTTTTTTTAAAGAAAATAGTCAATTACTCCCATGATATGAGGGCATTATTGTACAATCTTTAAATACATATGGTTTTATCTACGTCTCAAATTACATAATAAATTATTGCACAACACAAATGCACACACCATAGTCCAGGCTCTATATTACAGACACTGAACTACAGGTTTGTAGATTGTTCATAACAAGATCTTTCAATAAAAAATTTCTTATAAATTTATGGGTCGTTTTTCTATCTTGAAAATAACTTTTGACCCTTGAAACTATACGCAATGTTTTATTTTAATGCGATAGTCAAAAACAAGGCTTTATCTCTAAGAAGTCCTAATGCTGACGCTTCCTTTACTAAATCATAAATATTTATCAAGCAGTTCGAGGATGAAGACATGAAGGTCTGGATAACCAAACATCAATTATTTTAAGACACCGGCTCGTAAAAAAACCCCGGTTCTCTAGCAACACCATCTTGGTATTCTCTACGACATTTACCATCACTTACCCGGCTGGGAAGGAGAATGACGGGGTCTTTGTTCGTAAGCCATGGTGGATGCCACCGATCGAACTACATGGACTCCTTTGGACACTAATTCAACGAGCAATTCGTAAAAATTCAGATTGGAAAAATAAAGTTTTCAGGTACTTTGAACAGGCATATATCTTCCTCGTCCTTCGAGGTGAAATATTCACGCATCCATTGGAGAAATCGGCTTGAAATTTCACCACAGGAGAGAGGAATAAATGGCCTTAAAGTACATGGCGGTAAAATAAATAAAGAACTCAATCTGGGCTCGAGACTTACGTTTCTAGTTAAAGCATTTCTTATTTTACTTTCACGTTTTCTTGAAGCAGATTCGGCTGCCACGTCACTTGACGCATCTTGTAAGAAGAAAGCCCGCTGGCATGACTTACTACCGGAAGTGAAATCCTAAACCGGAAACGGGTCGTGACCGGAAGTCGAAACGGACAGGGTCGTACCAAACTATATCTCCGGAAGTCCGCTTTCCTCGCAATTTATCACGTTATAACGTCTGAATATTTTATTTATTCTTACCTTTGTAGCCTAGTTCGTGATTTTTCTCATTTTTATTTTAGTTTTTGTCAAATAAATTTTAGAAAATCTTCATGAAATGTTATAAAATGATCAAATTCTCTCTATCCAGAAATAGTTGCCAAGATACGTGCTGCAAAAAAGAGAGTTATAGGAGACCGGCATCGATGAAAAATGCTAAAAAAATTTAAAAAGAAAGCCTTATAAATCAAAAAAGCTAGATATACTATACAATTTAAGATCGCTAGATTAATTGAGTGTCTATATCTATTGAACTTATAAAATAGTTGCGCTTCTTCCACTTTCTAGACTTGATCCATTGAGACTGAGTTGTCCAACTCTCTACCTTATCGTTTTGATGATCTTGATATTCCAAGATTGATCGGTGCTATATTTCCTACCTCACATGGTATCGACTGACCAGGTAAATGCTGAAATCTATTTTATCAAGCTAATGAAAGGGTTATATCTAAGGTTATCATTATTTACCTACCTTACAAAAGATTCAATCTCCACCCTAGTACACATCGCCACGCATTGACTGTACAGAAGGAAGTTTGCTCGATGCGAATAGAATTATGGGAATATTTTGATTTTTTTATGAATGTACTTAAAATGCATGAATGGGAATCCTGTGTTATATAAGCGCGAGCAGCAGTAA